CAATCCCTGGGTTGGGCAGAGCCCCTGGAGAAGGGAAAGGCTACCCACTGCAGTATTCTGGCCTGCAGAATTCCATGGACAGAGGAGCCTGGCGGGCTACTGTCCACGGGATTGCAGAGTCAGACACGACTGAGCATGTACACACACAGGCATGGGAGGTAGGATTCCCCGAGGGAGGCTGTTGTGTCTAATTTATAGGCAACATCCTTTAGTGATTTACTTGTGTGTGTGTGTTAAGTCGCTTCAGTTGGCCTGACTCTTTGTGACCTTATGGACTGTAGCCCACCTGCTGGGTTCCTCTGGTCCACGGGATTCTCCAGGCAAGAATACTAGAGTGAGCTGCCATACCTTTCTCCAGGAGATCTTCCCGACCCAGGCATCGAACCTGCATCTCTTATGTCTCCTGCATTGGCAGGCAGGTTTTTTACCACTAGCGCCGCCTGGAAAGCCCTATACTTGTAACAGAATACAAAGTTTCCTCTCTATTACACTAGGACTCAAACCCAGGTCCTTTCATTCTAGACCCAGAGTACCTCTCCCTTTCCCATGTTCCTTTTTACTCTCCTGGGCTGTGTATGTAGGGAAGTAATCTGGGCTCATTAAGTGAAAGTTAACTGTTCATACTTGCAGACCCTCTTTTGATGAAAACCTCATGGTTTCATCATGGTTTCACTACTTTCTACTTTATCTTGAATCAGTTCGGCAAGAGGCATCACATTTACCATCCCCTTTCACATCCAGTATTAGATCAAGAGGTCATATTAGTTAGTAGGATTCAGAAAGTCATTCTTCAGATCTTGATTGGATGATACTGTGTGCTAGGCACTATGCCTATCACTGGAAACCCAGAGATAGAGAAATGAGACACTGTCCTTGTATCTAAGAACTCATACTATAGCAGGAATGTAACACAGAAAACAGACAGTGACACAGTATAGCAGAAAAAGCTTCTCAGGAGAAGAGGTGATATATGGTCTACACCTTAGGGGTGAGCGGGATTTCACCAAGAAGAGAGAGTTAAACAGTGTGGTTTATTCTCTGTGGGACACAAGGAAACTTTCATCTAGTTTTAGCTGCCTGGAGGAACATGCAAATGCACCTTCTGTTTTGTTTGAATGCTGAAGTTTTCCCAGTGTGGATTGACTGCATGGATTAAAAATCTAGATAATTTGGACTTGCATGATTTGGAGTCATCAATGTGGGCAGCTGCTAGATGAACATTTTGATTGCCTTGTGGGTGATCCAGTTGGGTCTTTGAGGCTGTGAAAGGAATTGTAAGGATCGTGCCATATTTTAGCCATTTGGATGGCCATTATTGCTAGCTGGAAAAGATTGGGTGGTGGTTGAGATAGTTGCTGGACTGTCTCTATGTGTGCCTTTATTCCACAGGGAGAAAGAGGCCCCCGAGGCCTTTCTGGACCCCAAGGTGAGGAAGGTTGCTGGGGTGCACGAGGTCATAAGGTGACTGTGACCTTGACCTGTGGCATTCTTCCCTTGTCTCTGTTCTATCCCTTGAGTTTAAGGAAAATCTTAATTCTTCAACATAGCTGTGATGTTTTCGCTCTTTCTCACAAGGGAGGGTTTCCTAGAAGTAGAAGTAGAGCCTGAGACAAGGAATCCAATGTAAACAGTTTGTTGGGAGGGGACCAAAGTAAACACTGGGAGTGGAGTGTGAGAGGTGGAGAAGTGAGACAGAAGGGAAGGTGGACTCAAAGGGCTGCCTTATTGTTCAGTAACCACTGTGGGTGGGTGGAGCTTAATTCTGCTTGGGAACAGTGGGAGCCGGCGTGGAACAAATGTGCACTTCAGTGTTATCCCACTCGAGGGTGAGGGGGTGGGGGTATTCACTCACCCAAATGCTGTCAGGCATTGGCTGAGGGCTGCTCTCAAGGGACATTAATTCCCCAGTACTTCTGGACTGCCTTGTGTGTGGATAGGCTCTGGTTCCAGGAAAGAACCCTCAGGAGAAGAGTCATAGAACTGCCAGCTGGAGGTGGGGCTTGAGATCCTTAAAACATTAAAGGCTGATGGGTGGGGCATCATGCCTTAAATGTTTCCTAACCTTCCAGGATTAGACTGTCTCCTTCAGTAAGGCTAGAAAACCTTGTCTGCAACTTCAGAGACCTATATAGTTTTTCTGACCACAATGACCATATTCTGCATATTCTAATAAGTTTCTCTTTCAATCAATTTATCCTGTTGTTCCTGGAAGCCTTCTCATGCTTGTTGTTCAGTGTATTCTCATTTTTGTGTGACAAAATATGATTGTTATAAGTGGAAGGTCACTGCTGTTTCCAGCTCAGCCCTTACGGTGTGAGGAGTGGCAAGGTGCAATTTTCTTCACAGTACAGGTGCAGGGAAGTGGTAGTGATCAGAAGGCTGCAATGTCCATCATGGTTACTGGAGGAGATGTCTTCATTTTGATATAAAAAATGACATTTTCTTGAAATTAGGGACATATGGTTCTCAAAGTGAAACAATAGTTTTAAAGCCTCATTCAATCTCAGTTATTTTTATTTCTTCTTTAGGGAGCAAGAAGATTTTCAGGAGAAAAAGTGAGTGACCTTTCTTACTCTTTTCAAACTGGAGAACTGACTCTTTGGGAAACATGATAATGAATTCACTTGTTTTTCCTTCCTTGAGTGAGGTGGGACTTAAAACTTTCAGAAAAGGGAATATGTCAGATGCTATGAATGGCCAAACTGCCATGCTAATGAATGGCTAATTGTAGGGCATGTATTTCAGGCTCACCGCCTGGATCTATATGATAACTTTTAAGCCTTGCTAATTATGTAATAATTGAGCCATCTGTTTATCATGTTTATTTGGAAGAGTTGGTCCTGAATTCAAGGCATGGTCAGGAGGGTCTGGTCAAGTAGGAGAGAGATGCTAGCACTCGGCTGCAAAGGAGCTGCCGTAATAGTGAATGACTTTGTATTCAGAAGCAAAGTATCCATTTGCTCACTCATTCATTCAGAAAAATTTATTAGGTATCTTCTCTGTTCCCCACATTACCCTTGGGAATGCTTCCAAAGTTGTGAAAAGTCAAACAGTGGCTGATAGAACTCCTTTACTCAGGCCTCCTGATACCACTGATTCACCCCTGTGGCCTCTGCCCAACACAGCATGTAATTTTAGCCCAGCAGTTTCGTGAGCTCATATTCATTCACTAACTCAGTCATGTGTTTGCTAAAAAAATGCCTGAAACTTGATTTCCTTGGGTGGCCAATAGGAGTAAATCAACCAACAATCCCACATATGTGACACGCATCTTATTTTGCTTGCAGAACTTCAGATATTTTTCTTCAAAAGACGCTTTATAAACTCTTTTCTTCAAAAGGGTTTCCCTGGTGGCTCAGACAGTGAAGCGTCTGCCTACAATGCAGGAGACCCGGGTTCAATCCCTGGGTTGTGAAGATCCCTTGGAGAAGGAAATGGCAACCAACTCCAGTATTCTTGCATGGAAAACCCAAAGGATGGAAGAGCCTGGTAGGCTACAGTCCATGGGGTCACAAAGAGTCAGACACAACTGAGTGACTTCACTCACTGAGATAGTTGGCAAAATGAAGGATCCGTAATCTGAAAGTGATGGAATGCTTGGTGAGCCATCACAATACAGCGGCCAGTTTTTACTTTCATCACTAGTTAACCCCAGTTTCTCAGTTCTTTTCTAAAGAAGTTTATTTATTTTTTTAAAATTGTAAGTCTTTCAAAATGCATGCACTTGCATACACACTCATTTAATTCCTACTTATTCTACAATGATCCAAGTTTCCATTATGCAAATTCATTCAGGGATATTTGCCAGTCTTTTTAAACTAAAAAAATAGTGGCATATTCTCAGGCTGCTTTTGTGTGCCTTAGCATCAGGATAAAAGAATATAAAACTATGGGAAAAAAAAAGAAACCCAATGGCAAAAGGACCAACATTAGCATGTAGACATCCTTTGAGGAATGTTTCAATGTAACACCTTGTGAGGGTGTTACAGTACTTGTTCCAGTGTAAAAATTTAAAAGGAAGTCTTTCTGTCCATTCAAAATCTGAGTTCCTTTTCTTTAACAGCTGAGGTGTCAAGAAAAAGAGTATATAGAGCTATTATCCACTCTGGGAAGAAAATAATTACTGCTTTTTAATGCTTGAATGCAGTATATAAGTGTTGTTTCAGGAGGTCTAGATTCTTGTACCAACTGAGAACAATATGAGCAAAGAAATTAGCATCAGAACAAGAACACATACCCTGGCCCTCTTTGCCTAATGTTCTCATCTTCCTTTGCACCCTGGGCAACCCTGGTGAGGAGGGTGTTAATGGCTTGCATGGAGACCAGGTAGAGAAAGCCTCTCATTCTGTGGCCCCAGCCCCTCTCTGCCCCCACTAGTTTGGCATTAATAGTCTCTGTGGTTGTCACGATTGGTCTGGAAATGTAAGTAAATATGCATGCTTAATGATGTCGAAAGGTAGCTTATATATTTGCTATTATCTTCAAAATACAAGGGCCTTAGAAACTTAACTCTCATTTCACATGTTATTGTCCAGTATTTTATTTGTCTTTTTATTATGTTAATTTCTACTAAATGAGACATTGTTATAATTATTGTTTAATTTAGTTGATCCTTATCTGGCTTTACCCTCATTTCTGTTGCTATCACTGATACCTTTAAAGGAACATGAAAAGATGGTGTTTCTTTTGCCTAAGGTACCACTTTTAGAGTTTTTCTTTAATAGAGGTTGTAAACTCCCTTGGTTGTTTTTTATTTGGAAAAAAAAAAAAAAGAACTCATGATTTCACACTTTTACTTGAAAGATTGTTCTTCGGTAAAGTATTTTCTCTCAGACTTTGGAAATGTGATTTCGTATTCTCCTGGGCTTCTATAGTCTTTTCTTGTTAGCTTTTACTGTTAAGAAGGTATCAATCAAGCTGAAAACTTAACCCCAGCTCACCTCCCAGGCCACCATACCTGGCCTCCCCTTGAACACTCCACCATGGCCAGTCCTGTTTTCACCTTATAAAGACAGTGGTGTGGGATCACTGTAACCTTTAGACTAATGACTGTCTGAAACATTGCCTCCATCTGTAATATGGTTGCAGTATTCTGTGATGATTTGACAGAGAAGGACAGCTGTGTTCCTCATTCTCAAATATTTTGAGGGGTGCCTCAAAGGGCACCAATGCCTCTGCTCTGGAAAAAGACATTGATTCAATGCAGTTTCCAATCAATGAACACTACTTCGAACTGGTCAACTTCAGAAACACATGCTGCTGTGGTTCCATGCTGTGGCCTTGAACTCCTGCCAGAGGTTCTGGGACACAAGGCTCAACCCAGGAGGAAGGAAAACTTGTTGACCTGTCTGGGAGGCCGTTTCCACAGCATTGCCACTCCGAAGAAGGTTAGTGTGACCCCACCAAAGAAGTGTATTTCAAGTTTGAGACACGAAAGCGATCTCTTAGATGACTACCTGCAGCAGGATACTCATGAATGTTTAAATTATTTGCTAAACACGGACATCCTGCAGGAAGAGAAGAAACAAAATGGGAGATTAAGAAATGGCAGTGTGAAGGAACTGCAGAGAGTGATAAACCAGAACTCACTTGTGTCCATGAGGTTTCTCAGGGAGCACTCACCCATGAAACTTGATGCTGGAGCTGTGGAGCTGTTTGTAACAAGAGAAGAAGATTTTCCTGACCTTTGTGTCGACATGGAGCAGGTATATCTATTGCTCCCTGTCTAAGAGACTTCAGTAACACAGAAACACTGTGTCATGGACAGGAATATTGGTGTGAAACAGGTTGTAGCAGAGGCCCAGCAAAGGCTGAGCATCAGAAAGCTGCCCACGATTCTGGCCTTGAACCTCGAGCGGTTCAAGTATGTGCTCCACATACACCAAACGATCTTACCAGGTGGTCTTCCTGCTGGAACTGCAGATCTTCAATGCCTGCAGTGATGTGGTACATCTGGACTGCATGTACGAGCTGGTTGTGGTGGTGGTCCACAGGGGAAGTGCTCCTAATCATGGCGTTATGTCAATATTACTGTGGTGAAAAGTCATGGCTTCTGGCTTTTGTTTGCTGATGATGGGGTAGAGAAAATGGATGCCCAAGCTATTGAAGAACTCTATGGCCTGACTTCAGGTATAAAAAAAAAATCAAAATCTTGAAATATTTTATTCTATCATCAAGATAATAACTTAAAGGACTGTGGGACTCATTTGAACGGGGGGAAATAATCAAAGCACCCTGAGCTGCAGACATTTCTCTGTAGACACCCATCCTCCCCAGAGACCCACCAGCAGTGTACTCTGCATCTTGGGGGTCTGGCTGTGTGACTCCTCCCCCTTCCCTCCAGGTCCCCTTCGTTTTCCTACATGCAGCACTACTCGTGGTTTTAACTTAGTCTGAGGTCGTGTTAACTGCAGTCAGATCATAGTAAGGTTTAGATGAATGACATTTGCTAATTTTAGGATTGAAACCAAGATTGCTGGGAGAAATATTAACAACCTTAGATATGCAAATGATACTACTCTAATCTAGTCAAGGCTGTGGTTCTTCCAGGGGTCATGTATGGATGGGACAGTTGGACTATAAAGAAAGTTGACCATCGAAGAATTGATGCTTTTGAACTGTGGTGTTGGAGAAGACTCTTGAGAGTCCCTTGGACTGCAAGGAGATCCAACCAGTCCATCCTAATGTTGCAGACTTTATTTTCTTGGACTCCAATATCACTGTGGATGGTGACTGCAACCACAAAATTCAAAGATGCTTGCTCCTTGGAAGAAAAGCTATGACAAACGTAGACAGCATATGAAAAGGCAGAGGTCTGTCTGTCAAAGCTATGGTTTTTCCAGTAGTCATGTATGGATTTGAGAGTTGGACTGTAAAGAAAGCTAAGCACAGAAGATTTGATGCTTTTGAGCTGTGGTATTGAAGACTCTTGAGAGTCC